TTATGTGTAAAAATACGATAATTTTCCTTTTTTTCGAATTTATATAAACACAGTTTTAACTATTTGTTACAAAACTAGTTTTATAAAAAGTAAGCTGCCACATTTGGTTTAAAAAAAAAACATGCAACTATACAGTACCTATCTAAAAATGTGAGAGAATTATTTTTTTTAATTACAAAAATAAAAAAATTCAATACCGACACAAATGTATTGTACATGCGTTGGTTTATGGCGGTAGACCATTTTGTAGATCAAAATTATAGCAACAGACTTGTAGCCTTAACTAAAAAAAACCCAAAATTGTGAGTTGTGGCAGTCTTGCACCAAGGGTGCGAAAAGTCAACATACATCATTTCTTTTAAGATCCCTTTGTAATGATGTTAAACGGTGTTTCCAGCTATTCTGATCAAACTTATAAGCCAGCTTTAAAATCAATTAAAGTAGTTGGAACGACTATATTGATTGGAATAACATATTTGTGTGATTACCACACGATTGATATTTTAATATTTATAATAGGTATTTGTTAAATGAATGGTATGTTTTTGTGATTATATTATTTTGTTCAACATGATGTATAATAAATTAATAAAAGCAAAAAAAAAAAAATGACATCCTATTATTGATGGTTTCCGGCTGCAGCCGTTGGCAATCCAATGTCTATCCCCACCTGAAAATGAAGATGAGTAATCCTGTGCTGGCTTATTGTGGACTTAATTTATTTTTAAAAATTGGTATTATTTTTACCAAAGAGGCCTGTTTTGAAACAGCACTGACATAATAGGGTAATATTATACATACAAAAACCGCCGCCAGGACAGTGCAAACTTTGATTGTGTTGAAGAAATGCATTTTTAAACTGTAGTTTATTTATTGTAACTACTCAGACGCGATTAATGATAACAGTGGATATTGTTCCACGGATATTTATACCGGTTTTTAAAACTAATTTTTAAATAATTCGCGGTTTTAATAATTAAAATTTGCATTTTACTATTAAAAAATGCAATTTTACTAGTTGTCTATTTATGTTTCATAAACATTTTGTAATTATAACGATTTTAATCAAACGCAAGGTATATTAAAAAGTATTATTTTGATATGAACGTTGGAAATCATGTTAAATTAATTGAATGTAAGACCAGGTAGAAAAACTAGGCAGTTTAAAGAGCCCAATCGTAAGTATTAGAATTTGTAGGACTAGTAACAGTATTGACGTTTTATGTAAAAAGTTCAATTAACTCTGTCAGTTAATCTGCATGTGCCTGGTATTTAACTTTTTATGTTCTATTAGCGTTTTCATAACTTTTAATCAAAGATCATTAAAACGGTGTTTGCTATAATTTCGAGTTATAGCTTAGTGTAAGACATTATTGTTTATTCTAAGTTACTACATATTTTACAAAACGCATCGTTTACAATCAAAATATGGCTAGACTAAAAATGCTAGCAATTTTCAAGCATAACCTAGAAAGTATCTAAGAATGATCCCAGTATGTATACTTTTTTAGCCTTTTTCGAATATTCTGTACAAATGTTGACGAAATAAAAATTACGGTTATCACTGATTTGGTCTTAAAATAAACATTTTTTTTTCAGAGTGCCAGTATTGTAAAGGAACACATATTTTCAACTAAAATGTTACTTTTATTTTTGTATAAAATATATGTAAATAAAACAGTATTAATTAACAGTTTAAAGTTAATATTTCCTTTTCAAAAGTTTGATTCTTTTTACTACACTATACTGCTATAACCCATAAGGCAATTTAAAATAATTGTAAATCATTTTATTTCGATTTCTGTAAAAAAGGATGTATAGTAATACATTTGCCAAGGTGTTGTTAGAAAACTAGTTCAGCAATAACAACACTCAATTTTTAAAATTCTAGCCTGTTATTTTTCTATAAGACTTTAAAGATATAGTGTTACTACTATGGTGGTTAAAAATCGCTATAATACTACTCAGCTCCGCATAGGAAAAAAAGTTAAACTAAACACAGATGTTACCATTTAGGATTGAAAAGTTGAATTATAAACCATTTTAACACTCTTAATAATATATAAATTCCATCTATTAAGTATACTATTTGTATTTGTATAATTACATGACATGACTTAGATAGATGACTTAGTTTGATGGTGACATGAAAATCATGTAAATTTAGGTCAATATATTAATAAAAAATTTGGGACAATCGATTTCTTTATTTGTTTTTTTAGCAGTTGTTTATGGCTTTGAAATTAAACCGAACGTAGAGCGCAGCTGGTTTACGTTGTAAATGTGTTTTTGTATTTATTCTATCAAAAAAATATTTTCGAAGACAAAAATAAATAATTATAAGCACTTGGACGTACCTAAAGCGAACAATAACAAAATATAACTAATTTAATAAATAATTTGCTTTAAAATCAAAGGTACGAAAAAAGTCAATAGGGAAGTAGCACGTTTTTTAGTAGGAGATAACATTATCATATAACGACACTACAGAAAATAACACATTTTGAACCAACAACGGAAATAACACGTTATGAATTCTTAAAAATGGTCTTTGTATACTTCTAACATGGGAATTAATGAGTTTTGACGCGAATTGGAAATAGTACATTTTGAAAAAAAATTCAAAATTGACAATACCGCGTTTTGAATTAGCGCTGGCTTTTAAATCCTTTGTTTCTACGCTATAAAAATGGAATAGAATAATAAAAGTGCCACAAATGAGCTCCTCGTTTAGTTTACAATACGAATCAATGTCTAACTCAATTTATTCAAGTTTGGCAGTACAACGTTTTGGATTGTACCCTTGAAATATTATTTTTGGAAACACACATACGATTGACGGTTCTATATAGTCAACATGTTGACTATGTAAGTAAAGAAATATGATGTGACAACCATTTCAAACACACCAATTGCTTACAACCGCCTTTTGTTAAATGTTCTTTATGTATAGTAACTATTATTATATCTTAAAAAAACCAGTACAGTCCAAACCAAGTGAATCCACAGATTCACATCGAAGTGTTGTATATAATCTAATTAGGTGTAGATGGTTGGAAAAGGTTATATTGAAAATTTAAGGGAAATTTACATAGGTCAATGTTGGCTTTGTTTTGTTTTAATTAGTGAGCACAATTTTATGTTTGCTTGTAATATTGTCCTTGGAACAGTATATACTGTATACCCACAGTTTTTTTTTTTTTTTTAATTTGTAAATTTAAAAAAAATATGTTTACCCGTTATCACAACTGTTCGATCAATATACAAACATTTAAAATCATGAAAAACGAGTTGTTTTTTTTTTCTTAAAACCGCTTGTTTTAGCAAAAATATTATACGACGTTCAAGTTACAATAATTCGAATAGATATTTATTTTAAAGTGTGAATATTACAGCAACCGTGTAGTTGCTGAATTATTAAAGAAATATAGTATATATTTGGTTGTATACTATAAGTGACAATTATATTTATGAAGGTGTCTAGCCATTTCAATAAATTTAATTGAACATTTTCCACGACAGTTTCCTTTTACTATAAATGTATGGGAAAAATTAAGTTTTCACTCTAATTTTTACAATTTTTTCTTATCGTAACATTAGAAATGTATTGTCATGTCATCTATCCTTAACCACAAAACCCTCTCCCCCTCTATCTGATCATAAACCCCTCCTTAAAAGAGCATTAGTCTAGCATATTATAACTATAAGCACTTTTAAATTATGTAACTCAATAATATCTTCCCTCTAACGATAGCTTTAGCAAAAACTACGTAGGGCGTTAAAAGTTACAATTCGATTGATAATTATGCTTATGTGTGAATATTACAGCAGCCTTGAAATTGCTGAATTATTGAAAATATATAGTACATTTTGGGTTGTATACTGAAAGGTTATATTATTATTATTATTAATTGTTTACCTTGGACTTATTTACATAATTTTTTGTTCTTATAACTCAGGAAAATAATCGAAATTCAATTTATCTGATCATATCCCCCCCCCCCAGAAAGAATTAGTGTCATATTTATTCATATAATCTTTAATTTTCATAAACTATTTTACTATTTTATTTGTTAAGTCCTTAAAACGAAATAACTTGATCAAAAAGTCAACCTATAGTGTATTACATTTTGTGCGGAAACCCCAAAATAATAATATATCTATGGTAAAAAAACAAAACTACTAAAGTGGTTTATATTATGAATGGGACTGAAATCAAAATCTCTGTAGTAACCAACATCTTGGATACTTTAACCAGAAATTGACAAATAACTCGGATATATTATTAAGAATAAACAACTGTAAGAAAACATGTACATATCGCCTACTTTTACAACGTGTATGAAAAATTACAGTTTTGTTGTTTAGGATAATTCTATACTTAACTAATTCATTTTATGATTAGTTGGATATGGTAGTATTTTACATTTTTGGGATTGTTATAAATTTTTCATTGAGCATAGTTTTCAAGTTAATCAATAATACATTTAAACGACTTAACAGAGGGTTTCGTCATATTATATATATATATTTGTTTTATGTATAACATATTTACACGGAGTTTAAAAAATATGTTATTGTGATGTTTATCAAACTGCGAATATCTTCGAACAATATACAGTCAACATTCATCTTGTGTATTCTGTTTTGACCAAAAAAAAAACATATTTTTTTGGCTAAATGTTTGGTTTAAAAAAAAAAATAACGAAATCTTGTTGTTTGATTTTGAACATAATAAACATCATAAAGGAGGGTTTCGTCATATTATATATGTATGTATTTACATGGCGTTAAAAAAATATGTTATTGTGCTGTTTACCAAACTACAAATATCTGCGAATTATATACATTTAATGTAAATAGTTTGTAGCGACCAACTTTTTGACCCAGAAAAAAACGTTTGTTTTTGGCTAAAGTAAGAATATAAATTACACAGAATATGATATTTTTTATTCATTCTTTGAGCGGTTCAATTTTCAGTTTGTAATAATCGTTTATAAAGATGGATTCTAAAAAAATCATTACAATGACCATCGTGTCACTTATTATCTTAATAGCAATTACAGGTAACATATATTTTAGTATTTTGCCAATTTATTATATTATAGTACATATTAATATATTACAAAATAATGATATACAAATTGTTTAACCATTGTAATATGCTATGTAATAATTATTTAAATAGTTTGTATGATTAAATTGCGTTAATGTGTTTAATGTATTACAGCCGTTTATGGGAGACCCAGCCAAGAAGGTAATTCATACATTTAGTTTTAACCTATTCAAGATAGCAAAGAAGTTTCCTAAAATTTTGTAAAGACAGTGTACATTTTCATACAAATTTAATTTTGTGAGGCGGTAAACGAATTTCATTTTAACCTTTAATTTGTAATTATAAAAAATAATACTGTTCAATTTTTGAACGATTTTTGAGCAAATTACAAAACTGTGGAGACAATTGTGTCGTACTGCAAATGCATTGTCTATATGCTGTACATTGTATAAAGTTAATTATGGAAAATTATACTAATTGTACAATATATAAAACAGATAATGCAAATCTTAATGTTTGTTTTTGAACATATTGTAATATACTTCTTTTGATCAATTAGTATCAAATAATTATGTCAAAATGAACAATATGTCAATTCTGATATTTTAGTTAAATTATATGAAATACCTATTTTATTCATTTAATTCGAATTATTTTAAATATCAATAACACTTTTTGTATGCAGGAGAAAAGGTCATCACAGGTAAAAACATTTTTGGTTTAATTTATATAAAATAAAATATGTAAATAAAATACTAATAATTAACTGGTCAAAGTTAAACGAGGTTTTCCATTCCGATCCGTTAATGATTAAATAACATATGTATATATAATATGATTATTGTATAAACATATAAAAGTATTTTTGTTCATTATGAATATATTTTTAGCAGAAAGGAAATTATTATGATTTTATACTTAAAGTAGTTAATTATAGGGTAAGGTAGTTGACCCAAGTATTGCCTATTCAAAGAGCTTTTAATAAACATTTAAATAAGAATATTTAAAAAAAAAACTTTTTTCGTTTACAGTTAAAGTACTTTTATAATTGATTTATAAAATAAATTTATGATTTTTACTTACATAGTGATTGTATTTTTGTGTAACACCTTATAATACCAATAATAATAGTAATTTTTTAAACGATTTTTGAGAAAATAAACTGTGGAGACAATTGTGTTGTACTGAAAATGCACTGTCTAAATGATGTACATTGTATTAAGTTAATTATGGAAAATTCTACTAAATGCACGTTTAGTGTGATATGAAAAAAACATGTTTCGTTTTCGATTAAAGGTTTGGTTTATAACAGAAAATGCAAATCTTGTAGTTTGTTTTTAAACATATTGTAATCTACTTCTTTTGCTTTTATTGTGTATAAATACAATTTTTTTGTATGCAGAAGACGATAAAGAAAAACAACGTATTAGCCACGCTGTCAGTATGTATACTGTAACTATTATAGCTTACTTAATTATAGAAAACTCTTGTCTTGTCGAAACATTAAAAAAAATAAATCTCATCAATTTAAACAATTATAAGTAGTAAAGCACGAGTAATTTCATTTAGTTGGCTAACTATTTATTGTTAGTTTAATATAATAATTAATATCGTTTGTGTTTGATTGGCTACGTGAAAGATAAAATGAGCGTTTTCATCATCCACTCACAGATAAACTTGTATAATTTTTTTAACAATGCGTGAATAATGATAATTTAATTAAGGTTGATGAAGTATAATTATATTATATAATTATTTAATTAATATTATTATGTATAAAAACCATTTATTTTATGGAGCTGATAAAAAAAGAGCATTTCATTTGTTTAGTGCGGTATGTCTTTTAGGAACGGATTGTTAAAATATCTATTATTTTGTATTAATTTCACTTACTGTATGCAGGAGATAGTGATAATTTCAGTTATTCCAGCCTAGTAGGTCATGTATGGGATAAACAAGTAAAACGTAAATCTAAACCCGGCAAATCAGGTGAAAATTCCGGTATGTATGCTTTCGTAGTTTTTTTGTATCTTTTTTTTGTGAATATCTGTTTTGTTTTTTTATATTATTTCATAATTTGGATTTTTGGAGTTTTTGAAACTCTGCAATATAAATGTCCATAATTCATACAATCCGTTCGTTATCCCACGAGCCGCTATTAAATGATGATTCTTACATTATGATTTATTACTAGGATTAGTTTAAAACAAATCATTAGGTTATCGTAGATTTTGAATTTTTTTTATAAAGCAATAAACATAGATGCATAAAAAAAAAATATTTGATAAAAGTGTATATTTGATACGTTTGTTTTTTTTCTAAACATTATTGGTGTTAGATAATAACCTATGGAACATAACGTTTTAGCAGTTAGTAAAATATTTTATTGTAGGACAACATTAGAGACGGAAAAAATGTTTTTTCTCAGTCTGTTTCCAAACAGATCTTTTCAAAAATTCAAAGAATAAAATAATCTTAAAACAAAAACTTAGTAAATAGTTGTAAAATAGTAATTTATTTTACAACGAAAAGTAATATATTTAGTTAGAGCATATTTACGCATTTATAAAATATTAAAAACAAATATCTTTTGTGTTTTTTTAAATTTATTAATTTGACTTGTTTATGATATAGAAATACCGAATAAAATTGGTATGTACATATGTAAATTTATTAAATGTTACTGATTAGGTATTATATCTATTAGTTGTTATCTATATTTGGGTGGTAGCTATGAGTGGTAAATATGTTTTTAAATCAAATAACTATACAATGATTTTTTTTTTAAGTTTTTAACCTGTAAATGATGTAATAAAGATTTGCTGTTAGGCTTACAACTTTGTTTATATAATTAAATGTTAACCAAACATTTTATGTCTATAGCACGGGCAAAATCACCTAATAAAATATAGAACTTTCTATAAAATTACTATGGTTGGAAGATTATACCATTATCCGTATGACGAAATATAATGATTCAATTAAATTAAGGCCAAACCATCTTTATTTTAATAATTAATAGATAGAATAGAAAAAAATCTTTTATTTTACCTTTCAAAATATGTAAAATATTTAATTCCCATAATTTTTATTTTTTTGAGTTATTAAATAAACACATTTTTTCAGATTGCAAGCATTGTGGAGGTAATAACATTTTTTGAAATTAAAATGTTGCTTTTATTTTTAACAAAAGTATGTGAATAAAATATAACTTACTAACTATACACAGTTAAACGAGATATTTCATTGAACATGTCGAATAGTCGGAGATAAGATGTGTTGTGATAATATTTCCATTCCGATCGGTTAATTATTAAATAACATTTATATAATATAATTATTGTAAATATATATGTGTTTTTGTTCGTGATTCATTTACTGCATTGGTTACTTTTTTTTAATTATACTACTTTACTATAATAGTTGCCTTATATTTATATTTTTTTCATATTTTAGTTGTTAACTATCGGCACAACCTAAGTAAGAGCTAATATATTTCATTTATATACTCTACATTAATGTATTATCCATGTCGTACTTAATTATTTTACTTACAATTTGAAACGACCAGATACCATAAAAAAACATCCCAATAATAAATAGTGGTTTAGTTGTGTTAGTGATATTTTTAATCGATACTGACTTAACTGAACTTAGAATGGATTTCAATTAAGAACTCTATAATACTTTTTTCAATAAAATATTATTTTTGATAACAATAAAAATTGTTGAATGATAAATGTCCAAAAAATCAGTATTAAATAAAAAACAACGTACCTAAATCCAAAATCTTTAGAAGCAATCTTAATTTACCCAAAATGTATTTCAGTTAGTAAATCCATGTGCAATATTATACTTAAGTATACTAATTTGTTGTTTTATAACTCGGTTAGTAATTGAATAAACGTTTTTTGTTTCAGAGTGCACGAGTTGTGGTAAGTTTTTTTATAATATTGTATTACGTTTATATTAAATGCAAATTTGGCAAAGTCTCATTATAGTTAAAAGTTTTTATTCTGGTGACTGGTGTAAACTGTTCAAAATGATTAATCATTAATATAAAGATAGATTTATGGTACATTTCATACATATATTGTCCGAGCTTCGTCATTGGAGTTATCTGGAGACATGTAGATTATAATTCAAAAAACTTTTGGGTGTACGTTAAAAAAATAAAATGGTAAATAGAGTAGCTAAAACCCTTGTTAGTATGATAATGTGATGTTTTCTTTCCAGAGCAACCGATAAAGCTTGTATGACACATGTAAGTCCTAAGTATAGTTTTATTAATTTTTTTTTTGTTTGAATAAATGATTTTTTACTATACATTTCGTTTTTTTGTGTGTTATTATTTAATATTTTTTTAAATACAGAATGCTGGACCGTCATGCATCTTCACTCAGATAAAAAAATAAAGTTTTCATTCTACAGAAATATATTTTATAGTAATTTTAAGTATTGTATTTATATCTAACGCATTGATTTGTTGTAAAAACTTTTAATTATTATTCAGTTTACAAACATTAATAATAGTAATAAAATTTAATCGTTTATATTTTATTACTTTTAATTAATGTTTGAAAACTGAATAATAATAAACTTTTAATTGTTATTCAGTTTTCAAACATTATTTAAAAGTACTAAAATATAAACGATTAAATTTGAATTAATTTGTTGTTTTGTTCAAAGTTTTTAATAATTTCATTGATTGTAATATTTAATTAATTACATAATAAATACACATTGTAATATAATATTATTATACTTTTTAAAATTGATTGTGCTGTGGTTTATTAAATTCCTTTTAGTAGGTATCGTGGACATTTGCATAGTGTCACTGTGAATAATACTATATGATGTATTATTCTACATTATAACAGCATTAGGTTTTAGATTTCATATTTAAGGTAGAGCGCAGCTCGTTTACGTATAAATGGGTTTTTGTATTAATTACTAGAGCTTCGCGAGACCTTATACCTAAAAACCGTACTTTGGACCCCCCCCCCCCCAAGGACATTTCTGGTTGCGCTACTTGTCCGGTGTTCCTTACTTGGGTTGCTACCACCTTTAATAAATTGCATTTATTACCATTGTATAGTTTCTACATTGTGGCCAAGTCTGCTTATTTCTTACCTATTTCTTTAGTTCATAACCACACTTCACGCCTACTTTCATGAGCAACACTGCTCTTTTATTTGTATTGCTTAACACTTAGGTGGTATAAATCCATATATTGAGAGGTGACTAACCAAAAATTCATCCTCTAAATGATAATAATTAAAAATTTTAAAATAATTTTGTTTTTTATTTATCAATAGAGTAGTATCAATTTCAACAAATATAGCAAAATCTATAGTTCTAATTTTTTTGGGGTGGACCGAAGACTTATATTAAATATATAAGTACTTCGATAAATAATAAAATACATGTTGATGTTGAATTTCAATATAAATTTTAAAATTCATAGTTTGGATTTAAGCTATTTTTATTCAGTGCTTCAGATACAATAATTAAATAATTATTTAAATGAAAAATTAGTTTCAATAAAAATGATTTGAAGTTAATATTTTATATTTATGTTTTAATAATGCCTAATGTCTGAAATCACACCACAAAAAAAAAACAAAATAGTCAATATTAATAAATGTCTAATTTAGTTCAAGCTACATCAACAGCAAGTAAAAAAAAATTTATATATATATATATGTATACATATAAAATATTATAAAATATTTTATACATATTATAAAATAAACATTAAATAGTAAGTGAAAATAAATGATCAGACAATTATTTTGATTATAAAAACGTTTTTAGAACACAGAATGTTGAACACTAAAATAATATGTCTAAAGATAACTATATTAAGAATTTAAAAATATGATATAGGGACTTTTGCTGATGTTTTTCAAAAACATAACTAATTTTTTGAATATGAGACTGCATAAAAATGCAATTATGTGTTGGTAAAATGATTATTATAAGGCCAGGGAGTACAACTGGAATGTATAAGATGTGCAACGTGTAATGTGATTAAAATAAATTATAGTTATTTCTTATTAGGGTAGAATGAACACATACATATTTTATGTCAATAATGTTTATAAATTTTAAGCACACAAAAGTAGCCCCAGGTGTATAAAACTAAAAATTGATTGTTTTTAGATCTGAACAATAATTGTTATTCAGTGTATCAAGATACTATTATTATTATTTAAAAAGATTTTTTTCAACATAATATACTATTATTTTAACAACAATAAGCATTTTTTAATTAATCCATGTATTATTGTTATTTTTGGATAAGTAATTAATTTTAAACAATACTTCCTAAAAAAATTTACCTGAAAAGTGAAATCAGATACATAATTGAAAAAAGTAAAATATATATGTGTATCAATTTCAAAGAATATTGTAAAACAAACTACAGTTTCAACTTTAATGACAATTATTACCATTTTTTTTAGCGTAAATTGTTGATTTCCACATAGCTCACCTACAATGTCTGAATTTTCTAAAGTTGAAATATTAAAACCACAAACTAAGTAAAAAAATAATTTTAAAAACCCCATACAGATGGGTATTTGATAGTGATCATATATATTTATATAGGCAATAAGTAATAATAATCTTAGACAACTGGCGAAAAGAATATTAATAAATAGTTCATGTCTATATATAATGAAAAAGTTATCAAATGTTTATGTTCTATTTCAACTAAAGTAGATCTAATGATTATATTCACAGAAGTACTCGTAGTAGGTTGGAATGATTATCACACGATCTATATTGTAATAATAATAACATATTTAATGCTGTATTTTTTTGTGATTACGATATTTTATTTGGTATCAAGTATAACATCATAATGATTTTATAATAACGATAAATTTAAAATAGTGATATCCAATTATTGATAGTTTCCGGTCGTAGTAGTTGGCAATCCAATGTCTATCCTAACCTGGGTGAGAAAGGAGGGCTGTAGACCCAACCTGGTGGAAAAGGTTCAAGTGACTCATCGCGAACTGCATCTCTTGACACCGAGCCATACGCAATGCCCTATGAACAAAAATGTTTTAAAAATGATTTATATTACTGATTCTTGGATGCACAAAACAAAGTTGGTTCTAAGAATTGTGTGTTTGGAAAACGACGTTTCTCATTTGTTAATATAGAATCAACATAGGTTTTGTGCAATCCTGCATAAGTATTGCATACAACTTGTAACTTAACACATTTGTGTATTATCAGTCGAATTTCACGCATCATAATTTTATACCCTTTCTTATAAACATGTAATCTGACAGTAATTTGAGAACAGCCATACAAAGCCATTTGTACAATACATACTTGACGCAGCGATCAAAATATAATTATATTCTTCAATTAAGATACTATTGTAAGAATTATTATCTAAAAATCATTTTTAACCTAGTCTACAGTCGATGCATTGTACTGTTAGAATTAGAAACATATCATTGTATAAATATTCAAGCCTGTATTCTTTTTGAATGTTGAAAAATAAATATAACTAAAGAAAGCTACCTCTTTGTGGTTTTAATATGTGTAGCCTTATTTGAAGTCCTTCGAAATCATATCCACACAATGACCCTAATCTAATTTATCTTAACCTAACCGGTTAACATGTATAACTGAATAAATGTATAGATTTTTCGAAATAAAACAACGTTATGCAAAAAATATCGTCAATTGGTTATACTTACCAAAATGGCCGCCAAGACAGTAACAACTTTGGCAATGTTGAAGAATTGCATTTTTAAACTGCAGTTTACTTTGTTAGTACACAGAAAACGCAAATGGATACTGATGAAAATATCCTTGGTTCGACGGGTATTTATACTAGGTAGTTGTAATATTAATTATTTCATAATAACGTAGTATTAATTATAGATAAGGCATTTTTAATTTGAAAATCCAATTAAAACATAACATTTTTACAAGTTCAAATTGTTTTAACGATCAGTTCATTTTTAATTAAAAATATCAAAGATCTTTAAAACGATATTTCATACATCATCTTATTACACAGCAAGTCCGTACTGGCTGCTCTTACGGGCCGTTTGCTGCAGCCCATATGGCCGCCTAAAAATGTTTAATGTCATCCTAGTCAAATGCAGCGGCGAAGCGTCATAGGAGACAAATAGACAATGTCTACCCACTTATAATACGGACAAAAATTTGGTTTTATTTTATGTGTGTAAAAATGTTTTAACCAATTTTAAAGTAAAAGTATATTTTTTTTGTAATAGTATTGTTAGACTAGAGTAGTTGTGGACGCGGATCAGCTGGCGGTCGCGCTGCCGGCCCCCGGGTCTATCCAAATTTCGTATAAAAATAAATGAGACAATTTCAAAATTGTCCCTTTTGCCGGGCGCCGGTATACAGGGGGAAATGGAAAACGGCGGGGGTTTATCGTTGCGCTATGAGACATGTCTCACCGACCGCCGCACAGTGGGGCAAGAGGCCTCCAAAATTGGCAAAAAATATAATATAATAAAATGCGGAACTGTTTATAAACTAATAACATTTTTGTTTATTTCATTTTTCAATTATTATTTTATTCTTTATTTAAACCATTTATTAGGGTTATTATTTAGTAAATATAAATAGAAACATATGGCGAGATGTATGCGTAAGCTAAGAAACCCCTTAGTCAAGATTGTATTATGCTAGTTTGGACAAAATGTGGACATAACTAACAAAGTAGCAGAAAGTAGCAAAATGTGTAAAGTTTTTTTTACTCTTGTAACTCATACTTAATAGAAAAACAAACATTCGGCACACGATCAACTTCGGAACATAACTAAAAACTTTTAAATGTTTGTAGAATCTTTCTATAAAATATAAATTGTAAATCATTTCAAACAAAAAATTGGCTAATGAATCATTACATACGTTACGTCGAAGGTTTCATAGTTTAAAAATGTATTATTTAGATAATATCTCAAAATAGAAACAAAATGGAATAATATTAATAACATATAAAACATTTTTTTTTATCGAGGTGACTCGTCGATATTTGCCCTAGTGAAAGGAGCGGGAAAAAGTGCCATAATATCATATTTTGGTGGCGAGCAATAAATTAACCATGTTACTAAAATAGCGTGACCTATTTGACCGTGTTATCGTACAAACAAAAATAATATAATAATAGGTACATATTTCTAATTTTTTCGTGGTTTAAATTCAAATTTACTTTTTGCCAGTTTTGGAGGCCCTTTGCCCCAGTGTGCGCCGTTCATATTATTACTGTTTTGGTAGACGGTATCAGTTATCCGTTATCGATGTACGTCGTATCGATTGTCGATTGCCTATGCCACTTAGTTTATTAGTTTTTGAACATTTATTTTTTACAGTATAGATAAAATAAAATATACAGGGGGTCCAAGGGGGCGCAGTCCCCCTGTCAAGTCACGTAACACCATTTTTTTTCAATGCCTCCCCGATCTAAAGACCCATGCCTCGCCACTGAGTCTCAAATGTGTTATGATTCT